AATTCACGCTCCACACCTGCCCAGTCTCACAAGGCAGCCACCGGCCATAGATGGCTAATTTAAATTCTAAATCATTTAAAAAGCAAACAAACTAAATGCAATGTGGTATCCAGAACTGGATCCTAGCCCAGAAAAGGGACGATAATGGAAAACTTGGGGAAATCAAATAAAATCTAGTTTCGTTAATGGTGATGTACAATGCTTGTTTCTTAGTTTTGACAAATGTGCCAGGGTTTGTAGGATGTCAACGTTAGGGGAAACTGAGTCAAGGGTACACAGACTCCTCTGTGTACTGTCTTTACAATGTCCCTGTGCGTTTAAAGTGATTCCAAAATAAAAAAGGCATTCAATGAAGTTACACGACATTGAAAATGCAGCCACATTTCCAGCCCCCACTGACCGCCGTGGCCGTGGCTACCACAGCGTTCAGCGCAGGTGCAAACGCTTCCATCGTGGTGAGAGCCCTGCTGGACGGACTGCTCCGCACGGTCATTCCGACCCCGTGACTCACACACGGAACTCCCACAACCTCACACCACTCACAGGTCCTTCTCTCGGCCGGCACTGTTCCCCTCTCTGTAATCCCTGCTTCCACACTGCACACTAAACCAGCCCAAGGATGACTTAGTGTTTGCAGTGGTTGCCTAATCGTGCCTTGGGTTTTCCGTTTGGGTTTCAGCTTGACTTCCGTGGACCTCCCAGAGGGCCTGGCATCAATTGTCCCCGGCAGGGTCCTGAGCATGCAACTCTGTGAAGAAGGAAGCCAGTGGGGGAGTCCCCGGCCCAGCACCCACATCCGAAGAGTGGAATCCACCTGGTGGGGGCTGGGCCAGTGCTCAGCCCTCTCCCCAGCTGGTCCCCCGCAAACCTGCACTGAGCGGAAAGCAGCCCTGTCTGGAGGTGGTCCTCTCGGAGGCTCACGGAGATACAACTCGATAGTAAAACCGAGCCCACGGTCTGCTTCACCCCCTTACCACCCCCCACCCCCGGCACCCCGAGTCCATGCAGGGAGCTGCCTCAGCCTGGGTTCACCTGTGGTTCCCACTGACATTCTTCCTGACCTGATTTTCCATGTTCTTCGTCAGGAGTGTCCATACTGCACGTCCGTGGTGAGTAAATGTGGTTGGGCTCCCCACACTGCCCTCACTCACCACTGCCCACCGCTCTTGCACAAAAGTGCCCCAACCCCCATCACGGCTAACCCAGAGCTGTCTTCACAGAAACCCAGCTGCCTGGCTGCTCCCAGGAGGCAGTTTCTCATGAAGGCAAGACGCCTCCGCTGAATTTCGCTTGAATCCCCACCCCGACCATCATGCTCAGGACGAAATCCCAACACCTTCCTCTCTCTGTCTTAGGAAGCCCAGCAGGCCCCACTGACCGACTGCCCTCCCTTAATCCCCTACCGTCCAGCCACACTGGCCCACTCTCCATTCTCAAACATGCCAAGACCGCTCCAGCCCCAGGGCCTTTGCACTGGTGCTCCCTGGCCTAGGACATTGCCCTGCCACCCCCCACACTTATACAGATTCTCACTGTCCGCAGAGCGTCAGTGGAAAGGCCACTTCCTTAGACCAACTTCCCTGGTTCCCAGCCCCTGGGCCCTGTTTTCGTCCCTTGCATTAGCGCATTCAGGGAAGTCAGGCAGATGTCACATGTGCTTGCCGGTCCCGCACCCCTGCTGGCTGTAGGTTCGTGGGAGCAGGTACCACACAGGTCTGGCTTGTCTGTGGCTGTATCCCCAGCACAGAGAACAGCATCTGGCATATATTTTGAATGAAAAGGTTTGAATGCCATCGCTGTTGCTTTGCAGAAACGTGAGCCGAACAGAGGGGCTGAGATCCAGGGCCCTGCGTGGTCTCAGGAGGGGAGTCAGCTGCCACGGGAGATGAGGTTGCAGACGATCAGTGGTGAAGCGACCTCTTGTCCTCCCCGAGTCTATTTCTCTCCCCACAATAAGTAGTCTCCGGAAGCTGCTTGCGAAACGGGATGAGGGAAGGGCTGGGAAAAACCCAGTGCTGCCCCGAAGACAGAAACCCAAGGTGGCTATTACTTTATTCTCCAGTTATGAGGTTCAGGTTAAAAAAAACGAGGGAAGATGTCAAAACATCCTGGATCCTGCTCTAGCCTCGCGGGTGGGCTCTCTTCCCTCCCACCCCAGAGGGGATGGAGGGCTGGGTGTGTTCTCGCCCCGGGGAGAGAGCACCACAGACACACCCCCTGGAGGCCTGGACGGATCCAGTCCTGCTCTTCCCCGGCCCCTCTACTTATGAACGGGCACAGTGAAGCCTGGCAAGGAGACGTGAGGTGCCCGAGGCCCCGGTCTAACCTGGCGTAACCTCACAAGTCTAAGCGGCCTACCTGCCAGAGGCACCCTTATGTTAAGTGCACTTAGAAAGGAAAATATGCTCCCAATGAAACTGGGTCCACCACCGACTGCAGGACGCACCTGACCTCCAAGATGCAGGACCAGCAAAAGCAGCTGTACAGCTATTCATATGGAAAACCCTATATAATAAAAGCCCAAAATGCTAAGTTTCCGGAAGTCTGGTCATCTGTTCAACCAATTAAAGCGTAATATGCTAATGATATGTTAAGGTCACTCAACCGCTCACTATGACGTGCACTGCCCACCAGGGGCAGATGCTCTGACTGGTAAGTTAGCTTGCTGCTGGGGTCCGCCCCATCAGGGCTGAGTTAGATGGGCCAGACACACCCTGGAGCCCTCCCGTGGCCCTTCCCTGGCTGGCCAACCTCCCGAGTCCCTCCCTGGCCCCAACCATGCACTGGTGGGGTCCCACGGCCTGGCCTGCATCCTCTCGCAATCCGGGACCCCTCGGGGGATGTCAGAGAGCTGGTTTTGGCCCGATCCCACAGGCCAGGCCAAGGGACCCCACTAGTGCACGAATTCGGGCACCGGCCTCTAGTAGTACAATAATTGTAAATAATAATGCAAGAATAAACTCTGTGTCCCATATGTTCATAACCGTAAGCCTACTTTTATCTGACCCCGTATTGAAATGTGGGGGAAAAACAAAAGTGGGTCTCAGATCAAGGGACTGGGGTTCAGTGGGTTTTGCATTGCTTCTCATGGCAATGGCTGTGGTCAGTCGCCCAGTGACCCTGAGTGGTGCTGACCCAATGTTCTGGGTGACCCTGGACCAGAGCTCCCAAACTGGCACTACTAACATTCGGGGTGGGTAATGCTTTGCGCTCGAGCTGTGCTAGCCTGTGCATTGTGGGTGGTAGCAGCATCCCTGGCCCCAGCCCACCGGGCCTGTAGCACCTCCCCGAATGGTGACTGCCAAAACGACGGACATCGCCAAATGTCCCCTGGTCCGCAAAAACTCCCGAGCTGAGAACCACTGCACTAGAGCCCGAGAAGTTTAACAAGCAAGGAGGGTGTCCCTCCCCTCGTGGTTCCAACGCTCCAAAAATGTTACGTGGAAAATTCCAGAAACAATTCGTAGTTTTAAATTGCTTGCCATTCTGAGTAGCTTGATGAAACCTTGCACCGCCCCGCTCCGTGACCATCCCTTTATGCGGAGTCTCCACGTGGTATGTGCTCCCGCCGTTAGTCACTTAGCGCTCGGTTCTCCGACGGCTGTCACAGTGCCGACGGTGCCGCAGCGCTGTGTTCGTCACCCTTACCTTACTGATAACGCCACATTCGTGCAACTTTTATAACAGCCCATTTTCGTAATTGCTCTGTTGTTTTTAGTTCTTGTTAATCTCTTACTGTGCCTAATTTACAAATTAAACTTTATCACAGGTATGTACGTATGTATGTATGTGTAGAAAAAACAGTATATACAGCGTTTGGCACTAAATGTGATCTCAGGCACTCGGGGCGGGGGGGGGGGGGGGGGGGGGGGCGGCCCACGCCCCTCGCAGACGGAGGGAACTGCCGTGTGTATTGCAAACAGGCAAAGGACAGAAGCCGCGTTAGAGGGGCGTCTCCTCTCAAGCTTTCTGAGTCCTGGGGACGCTGCTGTGCACGTGTTTCCGAAGGGGAGTGAAGAGGTTTCCAACCGTCTTTGACGGCAAAGCCCTTTTTGGCAGAGAACTTGACAGACTGAGGCTGCACCGACTTCCCCTTGGGAGACCCTGCCCTGGGCCCCTGGAGGGAAGGGCAGAGGAGGCAAAGTGGGCATCGGCACACTCAGTCTAACACCTTGGCCCCCTGGCCAGTTCTCATCCCCGAGTCTGACCCTCTCCCCATCTCCAGCTTCCCCAGCCACACTCGGAGCCTCAGAGCCCAGCCCAGGGCGGGCAGACTGGGCTCTCGCTGTGTCTGTCGGGGGAAGGCAGGAATCTGTCACACCTCACCCTTGGCCCAGGGGGTCTGAGCCAACTCCTCCCCCGCCACACACACCCAACCCTTGGTCCTCCTTCGAAGCCACAAACAGTGGGAAAGGGACAGGATGCGGCCAGGGAACAGCATCAGGACAGCAGGCTTGGCAGTACCCGCCTGGCACCTCTACGCGCCCGGGCTCCTCTGCCTGGGTCCCTGCTCTGCCTGCGTGGCCCACTCTGGGTTCCTTTCTCGTGTCTGGCTGGCCTGGAGCCCGCCAGGATAGAGGGCCGACTCCCTCCCTAAGCACCTGAGAGGGAATGAGGTGAGCTATCCAGGCAATACCATCCGGCCAAGCAACAGGCTTGTCGGGCCTCCTTTCCCTCCAGGACCCTCCCTAGGTTTGGTTCTTCAGACCCCGGGATCCAGAGCCTTGACCTTCCCAATCCTTTTTTTTTTAAAATATATTTTATTGATTTTTTACAGAGAGGAAGAGAGAGAGAGTTAGAAACATCGATGAGAGAGAAACATCGATCCGCTGCCTCTTGCACATCCCCCACTGGGGAAGTGCCCACAACCCAGGTACATGCCCTTGACCAGAATCGAACCCGGGACCTTTCAGTCCGCAGGCTGACGCTCTATCCACTGAGCCAAACTGGTTTCGGCAGACCTTCCCAATCTTGACCCCAAAGCAGTAGGTGCACAGTACCTGTCGGAGGCAGAGGGCTCCTGTGAGTGCCAGGACTGGCGGGAATCCCAGAACCGCCGGGGCGCTCCCAGGTGGTCTCTGGTGGGAGAAAGAAACAAAATCGCTTTCAGAATTTCATAAGTAGAACCTTAGAGGGTGACAGAGCAGAACTGCTAGTAGGTGATAAGAGCTGAAAAAAATAGTCCTGGCCGGTCACCTTCCTCCCTAAACCCAGGGACAAGGAGCCTGCTTTGGGCTGCCACACCCTTCCCACTTCCCATGATGACAGATTCTCTTTGCTGGGGACCCTTCTCCACAGCTGGCACCAGAAGGGGGTGGCTTTCCAGCTGGGATCCTCTGAAAGGTTCCCCCAGGGCCCCTCCTGCTCTTATCCCCAAAGGCTGCCAACTCATGGGCCTCCTGGAACCCTCTGTCTCTGGTCCTGGAACCCTAGCTGCCCACTGGGCATTCCCCCCAAATGCCATTGTCACATGAAACCCCAAAGCACAGAGGAAAGAGCCCTGGCCTGGGAACCTGCACGGAGACATGGTCCTCTGTCAAAGAGGTGATTCCCGCCCTACGTCTTGTTTGCATTACAGCTGCTGGCCGGGCTGGCCCCACTTCCGGTGCCCAGCTGCTCGGTCCAGCCAGGAGCAAAGCCGTGGCTGCATCTATATTATCGTCCCCCGAGCACTACTTTACCCATTTCACCGCTAGGAACAGGCTTCTGATCAAATTATCTAGTGATGAGAAATAGAACTTTCTTACCATGTAACATTGGGTGCAACAGAAAGCCACAACGAAGAAATGTTGCCCATGACCCTACAACTTGGAGGTCATCACAACACTTTGGTATCTATATGTCCATTTCTTCCTTAGAACAAAAGCATATCGCATGTTCTTTTCATGAATAGGCGTTTGAGAGTATCTTTCCAAAATCACTTAAGGTGCCAGGTAGTGTAGAGGTTCGGACCTACTCATAGTAGGGGGTCTTACCTCCTCACCCCACAGTGCCTGAGTCCGAATCCCAGCTCTGCCTCTTACCACCAGTGTAACCCTGGCCAAGCTAATTGTCCTGTCAGCGCCTCAGTTTGCTCCTCTGGGAATGAGGTCGATCATGGTATCTACCCAAGACAGTCCTCGTATTCAGGCCACATGCCCATATACAAGGGCTTAGCATAAAGTTCTTTTTAAAGTTGGCCCAGTGGCCTTGGCCGGGTTGCTCTGCTGGTTGGAGCATTGCCCAATACACCAAAAGGCTGCAGGTTCATTCCCTGGTTGGGGTGTGTATAGGAGGCAACCAATAGATGTTTCTCTCTCCTGCTCTCCCTTCCTCTCTCTCTAAATATCAATCATTAAAAATCATATCCTTGGGTGAGGATTAAAAGAGATAAAAATAAAAAAAAATAAAGTGAGTCCAATGTATGAATATAACATTAGTTCATCAAAAAATCCTAAACCTGAAAAAGCAATTGTCTCAAATATTAAAAATAAAAACAAGCAAAACTCTTTCAATGACTTCTCTCCATCAGGATGCACAAGAACTGGGTTTTTGCCTCATCTCTGCCTCTATGTCTGCTGTGCTGCCCAAGGCAAGACACTCTGCCTCTCTGGTCCTCCAATTCTTAACCCAAAAAGAAGGGGCTGGGCTAACTGGTCTTTTAAGTCTCAGTCCTCGGGCCTTGGAGCTTTGATGGGTGATCTTAGAATCTGAAGACCCATGTGCTGACTGGCTCTCAGACACCAAGACGTGGAGACTCCACCAGGACTGCCGCAGAGACAATGCAGATGCCTGAAGGATCTGTCCCTGCCCGTCCTGGCCTTGGCCAGCTCTGACCAAACACCAAGTCGCTGTGAGCCTGGGGCCGGAGTGAGGCCGGGCCAAGCAGACATCTGGGGAGACCACCAGGGCTCTGCTGCGTGACTCCAGCAGTAGGAGGAAAAGCCGCCCCAGCTGACCATACCACCCACAGGGAGGGAGCCATTTCCAGGTCTTTTGCAATAGAAGACTCGTTAATCCATTTACAGCAGGCCAGGCCCCTTGACCAAGCCAAAGCAAAACTGCCTGGCAGCTCGGCCATGCTACTCTGAATTGAAGCCCTTTTGCATTCTCTGGGATTCCATTCCTGGGGTTCCAGGTGACCATCCAGACTCCTAACAGAGTCGCTGCCATGCAGGTCCCAGAGGCTCAGGACGCGGCACAGTCAGAGTGGAAGAAGTGAGACCTTCTCTCACAGAGTCCCGTCCAACCCAGGTCACGAGAACACATTTTTTCCTAAAGGCAACTCCAACTTATTCAGGCCTCCACCACAGACCCCAGGGCGGCCCAGCACACACACACACACACACACACACACTGACTGCGGATCAGACCAGCGAGGGAGGCTGCCACTCCAGCCCTCGAGGCCACAAGCCAGAAATGGCCATTTCCCCCTCCGAGGGCTGTCCTTTTCCTCTCAGCGGCTGCCCCGTGTAGAACAGAACTTTTAAAGAGGAAGTACACCTGAAAGTGGAAAGTGAGGTAAATTTCAGACCACAGATGTGCCCTCCTTAAGACAACAATAGTAACACTAACAATGAACAGTGCATGAGGGAGAAGTAACTCTCCACAGTCACGTCTGGCCTTCGTTCCCCCTTGTCAAGACGAGTCCTGTTTACACTAGAGCAGTGATGGCGAGCCTATGACACGCGTGTCAGAGGTGACACACGAACTCATTTTTGTGGTTGATTTTTCTTTGTTAAATGGCATTAAATATATAAAATAAATATCAAAAATGTAAGTCTTTGTTTTACTATGGTTGCAAATATCAAAAAATTTCTATATGGGACACGGCACCAGAGTTAAGTTAGGGTTTTACAAAATGCTGGCACGCCGAGCTCAAAAGGTTCTCCATCGCTTCACTAGAGGCATTGGCAACCAGCCCCTGGGCCTAGGACGCTGGTCATGGGGATTTGCCTTAAGCCCACCTGTGAGCCACCCCTTACTCCCCTACTCCCCCACCCACAGGCCAGTGGACTCCTGCTCCTGATGGGCCCATTTCCTTGGCTGTGGGGTGACTCTCTGCTGCCCCCAGTGTCTATTCGGTGAATTAACCCTAGGTACCAGCCCAGGGGAAATTCAGCTTTCTGGTGCTGGCTGGAACCTGGGATTCCTGTAGTCCCCTCCTCTTTGCCTCTTTTTAGACTCCTCTTCCTGGGTTTCTCACTTTCTCTGCTCCCCCACCTCTCTTGTTTCTTTCTCTCCCTCGTTTGGTGGTGGCCCCCACCGTGGCTTCTCTTCTGGCCCCTGTTTTCCTCACCAGGAGGCTCTGCTGGACTCAGGTTTTCCTAGATTGACGGTAGCCCCACTACCCCCTTCTCCAGCTCTTGTCCCTCCTCATCTGGAAGCTTGATTTCTATGAGGCTGCTCTGCCACGTCCTCTACCCCAAGCAGGAAGGCGAGTCCCAGGAGAACAACAGGAGCCCCGTGCCCTGGTCAGGGGGGCAGCTCTCTGAGAATGCCAGCTGCAGGGAGCCGTGGGCGCCATGAGCACCCTGAGGGCCTGCACAGCTAGGTGAGTACCCGGAGGGCCTGCACAGCTAGGTGAGTACCCGGAGGGCCTGCACAGCTGGGTGAGCACCCGGAGGGCCTGCACATCTGGGTGAGCACCCGGAGGGCCTGCACAGCTGGGTGAGTACCCGGAGGGCCTGCACAGCTGGGTGAGCATGCGGAGGGCCTGCACAGCTGGGTGAGCACCCGGAGGGACTATGCAGCTGGGTGAGCACCCGGAGGGACTGCGCAGCTGGGTGAGCACGCGGAGGGCCTGCGCAGCTCGGTGAGCAACCGGAGGGCCCGCGCATCTGGGTGAGCAACCGGAGGGCGTGAGCACCCGGAGGGCCCGCGCAGCTGGTGAGCACCCGGAGGGC